CCCTACATGGCATGGGACCAGGTTACCTAAGGGACCGCCTCTTCCCCATGACTTCAACCCATCCCACCCAATCACACAGAGAGGGCATGCTTCGGATCCCCTCGGTAAAAGAGCTTCAATTAGCGAAGTCCAGAAGACAGGCCTTCTCGGCTGTGGCCCCCACCCTTTGGAATATCCTGCCCCTGGAGTTGAGATTGGCCCCTTCACTCCTGGCCTTCTGGAGGGCTTTGAAGACCTGGCTCTGCCATCTGGCCTGGGGTGGGGAGGGAAGACATCAAGTGTGGGGATGACTAGCCCCTTAGAGGCCTGTTGTCTGCAGCTCTGGAAACCATCTTGGACTTTTTCTTTTTTGGTAATGCTGTGTATAGTTTTTATGCTTTCTGTAATTTTATATATATTTATTGTATTAATGGATTATGTGAGCCGCCCAGAGGGAGGGGGAGATGGGCAGAGATAAATCTAATAAATAAATAAATAAATAAGGGATTCTATTAAAAACAGGCTGTAGTGGTGTAACTAATGCATAAAACACTCAGCACTTTGAACAGGTGTACAAAGGTACATAATCAGGAGGTGGTGAGTGCAAGCCAGTTGGGTGACTTTGGGCCAGTCTCTCCCTCTCAGCCCAACCTACCTCACAGGGTTGTTGTTGGGAGAAAAGAGGAGGCATGTTCACCGCCTTGAGTTATATATATAAAAAAGGCAGGATAAAATCATCATCATAATCCACCATACGGATCCCTTGCCTGCATCCTCTTTTCATCTCTAGAGATCTTATCAGCCACTGCCTCCATTCAAGCCTTTCAGCAGAAATTAAGGACTAGAAGCTTCTTCACTTAAAACTCAGGCTGAGATCCTCTGAGATACTGAGCACAAGGTAAACTTTCATCTTCACCAGAATCGGGGAACACGCACAGTGCTGCATAAACAAAAGATGTAAAGGTACTTACAGCTTTGCCAGGAAGGTCAAATGTATAAACACTTCAGCATTTAAGGTGCCGATCTTGTTACTGGAAAGATCCCTAGAGAGAAAATGAGTGAGATTAAGCTTGTTATCATCCACAATCCTGCTTATCTCTAGACTCACAACCAGGGGCTTGAAAACATGGATTTGCTCAGCCAAAGAGGACACATTTCAGCTACCGATTACTCCGTGTCCCTCTAACCCTGGGTTATCCGTGGAGAGAAAGGAGGCCACGTACTCACAAAAAGAGCCCAGGATATTTCAGTGATAAAATGAATTCAGGAGGGATAAATATAATGGGTGAGCGCCAAACAACAGTTATTTGAGGCATGGGGTGGAAAATTGCACAAAAAGTCATCTTTTAAAACCATTTCTTAAAACAAAATAAATCCCACTCACTTTAAAAGTACTTGTAGGACTTGGACAGACCAGCTATAAATATGAGAGCGGTGCCTTTCTGTGTTAAAAAGGAAGAATGCAAAGCAAGCGATTCACTGTTCCTGCATTAGCAGCAGCTTTGGTTGTTTTTCCTCCCCCCGTTGCTTCAGCAGGCCCAGGAAAAGGGCCCTTCTTTGTGGTGATGGTTTATTCTCAAACAGGTTTTAAGGACTAGGCTATTTCAGTTTGCTTTTTAATTGTAGCTGGCTTATAGCTCCTACTTTGTGCTTTTAATTGTCCTAGATATTTATCAGACAGACAGACAGACAGACAAAAGCTGGTATCATAATACTATTTTAGTTAATGGCATTTATACATACATATATGAATGTATACATATACATATACATTCACATATAGTTCATATTATACTATATAGGCTTTAAGCAAAGATTAATTATAAGTTTAATTAACATTCAGTTTGGTAGCTAAAACAATTTGTGTTAAATCCTCAATTGGCTGAACCACAGTCAGTTCCCCAAACAATCCTCATTTCTCATTTCTGAAAACAGTTATGTAAAAAAGTAATATTCTTCTCCCACTGAAGCCAACTTAAAACTTTAGGACAAATGAGATTTGTCAAATAGAAAAGGGGTTTTTTTTGCCCTTTTTTTTTTTTTTGCTGAAGAATTTTTGCAAGAAAATTGTGGCATATTTAAGAGATGTAAATGTTGGAGCCTTTTCTGAAAAGTGAGTATTTTGCTATATTTATCTTGGTTTTTTTGTTTGCCTCCAGACGAAACGGAACCAGCATATACACTTTGCAAAACATTTCATGAGCACAGGAGCAAAGACGTCTGCAGAAAAATCATGCTCTCCCATATGGTGGGCGGAAAACTCTTGGACTTAAGCCCCCCAGAAGGCGCCCGGTTCATTTCCCTTTACTCCCACTCCCACAGCGAAGGATCAAGAACAGCCAATTTGCTCGGAGGGACCAATACCACAGAAATGCCACTCCAGACACGCTGGCTGCTCTCCTCTCACTACGGCCTCGGTGTTCTTCTACCTCTGGCTACGTTTTCCTTGGCTCTGGCATATGTACAGCTAGCCCCACGCCGCGAGGAAGGGGTTTCCATCTCCTGCCCCAAAGGAGGGAGAGCTTCCTTGATGTGACATCATCCTGCTGCATCGTTCTGCCTGTCGGATGGCAGCCTGGGTCTTCTTAAAGCTCCAGTCCAATGGGCACCCAGGCTGTTATCCCACAGCTCAAGAGTAAAATGCAGACAGTAAAGGATGCAAAGGAAAACATCAAGGTGCTGGAAAGGTTTGATTCAGGGGCATCTGCAAGGGAGGGGGTCAAAAAGGTCATGATGGTTGCCATTTTTTAGGTGCATGGTGGTATACATAAAGGGGGGTGCTTCAATTACACGGCTGCCGCTGTCATTTTGTTTTTACACACACACACAAATCCACACACACACATACACTACAAATACCCCTGGTTTTATTGTTTTTGGATTAGCAACTTGTGTGAAGCCAGGTACTCTTGTTTATAAACCATGGCTTATGTTTAAGTGTTTTATGTGAACTAATTGTGGCCTGTTTTTCAAAACAGCTTAATGTGAAGTATGAACCCCCTCCGCACATTTGTGCCCATGTGTTTGGAGCATCTTTGGAGAAAAACCTAGCTGAGCCACAACTGTCTAGGTTCACACACCACCCTGGGCCCCAAAGCCTAATTTACAAAGGCCACAATGGAGTTCATCAAACTTATTAAGCCAAAACCATCAGCGGATTCAGTGCAATCTGTGAACACAGGCACAGCGTCTCTCCCGTACATCTGAGAGGCAGTTCAGGACTCTGGGTCAATGTGGCTGTCCCTTTCCCAAGCTGTTTCCCCCAGGGGGCTGGGGACTGCAACCAATCTGTCCCCACCCAATGTGTTTCTCGGTACGGCATCCGCAGCAGGGCGTGCCCACTGGCAAATGCGACCCATCCAGGCCACTCGATAACTTTTCCGGCTGGATCATGAAATCATAAAGTACATCTAAAGCACAGTATCAGTTTGAGGCAGGAGGGTGGGCCAAAATAATTATTAGACAATATCTATTTCTAGCAATGTTTGAATTAGTTTTACCAAAAAAAAAAACTTTCAAACATTATGGTCAACATTTTTGGAGTTGTTCTGCTTAAAAGATCTTCTTTGGGCCCTTTTTCTTTGTTGCTCTGCTTACTCATTTTGTGGGTGTGTTGCTCCTTTAATGCTGCTGTATGCATTTCTACTTTTTAAAATTGGTTTGCATGCTAATTTTGAGAACTTCTTGCTTCTCTACCCCTTCCTGAAGGAGGGTCCTAACACCCTCTTGGTTGCCATTTTTGCCGGTCCTAGTAAAAGCTTGCTTAGGAGAGCAACTTCCTCCCCGTGAAAGTCGCCACCAGCTGCAAATTATGGCGCTTAGGTGCCAAGAATGAAACAGGGGAAACTGACGCCCTCTCCCACAGAGCATCTGGAGTCCCTTGAAGAGTGGACAGGGCTGAGACAGACATAAACGTAACCCTTAACAAGAGGACAGAACAAAGCATGGCAGGGGCAATGTGCTGTGTGCAAGGACCATCCTCAGAGGCTACATTCACCATGCATGACTCTCCTTCAGTGCAGTACAAGGGGTACTGCTGTGATATGTCCAAGGAGCACATTAAACAGCCAGTGTTCTCCTGCCAAGTGTGATGTCATGTTCCCATGATGTCATCTGCAGAGAAAAAAAGTGGGTAGACCGGAGTTGCCATGGACTCTCGCTCTCCCAATGTTTTTGATGTGTGGCCTGCAACCAGAGCTTTAATGGGGAAAGCATCTGTTCAGATCGAGACTGCAGTGAGTCACAGTTTTGCAAGGAGTGAGATTGTAGCAGGCCAGTGACACAGAAAGTGATTCAGGGGTTAATTCAAGGCCATTATTCTGAATCAACCATCTCAGATTTTCTCTCGAAGTCTGGAACGTCCAGGCGACAAAGCTGCCAGAGGGACCCCTTGTCCTGTGCCAATCCTTCGCTATCTGGTCCAGCCGCCAATCCATTTCTGAGCCCACTCAGGGCTGATTTTGGCCATTAGGAGCCTCTCCTCCTGGTTTTACCTGTCCAGCCCCCCTCCCCACCCCTTTATTCAGTGCAAAAGAGTGGCCTAAGAGGTATCTGCTTGACTGTCTTTCTGGCAGAGAGAAGACTTTTTCATTTGGGAGTTATCTGAATATTGTTTTATGACTGATTTTGTTGTAACTTTATCCACCTGGATTATATTATAATAAATCTACACCACCCAGTAACATAAATATAATAGCTAACCTGAACAATCTCGAATTTTACAGCCTATCCTCCACCCAGATATTCAGCTGGGATATGCTGAAATCCCAGTCTTGACAAATTTTTCAATATGACATTGTTTCAGTACCCTAAATGTTTTTTTTTAATGTCATGCTCCTGAAGCCAGCTTCTTCTATGTTTTTAAGCACTCCTCTGTCTTTGGATCATGTCTACATTAAAATTATACACAAAGTAAGGGACTATAACCAATGAATCAAATGTTGCACGGACAGGGGTGTCCAAAAGGGAATCAGAAAGTGAAGAGGGTAACCAGAGCAACGCAATCAAAACTCTGCTCCTTTTCACATGGTTAAGCAAACTCTCAATCAATGGATAACTGAACACAGACTTTCATATACAATAAGCTTTGATTTTGTCATAAATAATTTTTGCAATGAACCTTAATTTTTTTCTCTTAAAACATTTTCTCTTAATTAGTAATCTATTCCCATTTCTTAACTTCTTAGTTTGCCAAAAACAGCAACCAGAATTTGCTTTTTATCTCATTTTCATGATCCAATGTCAGGGCAATTAAAATGAGTACTAGAACAGACAGGATACATTTACTGAATGAATAATAACGTTTGCAATTTTCAGCATTTTCTGATGTAAAGTGAAGACGAAATCAACACAAAATAACCCGATTTTCATCAATATAAATTATGGCAATTTTAGAGGAATGCAATATTATAACAAATTCTGTTCTCTCAAAGTTGCAATATTTCTCCTGGCCAGGTTGTCTGCTGCTTGTTCAATCCTGCAGAAAAAGCCCGTTTGCAAGTAGGCGGCTTGCAAGCAGGAGAGTTTATTAGGCTGTTGCTATGGCAAATGCATCCAAATCACAAGTGCAGAAGCCGCAAAGCAACTGTGTCTGCCTTACAAGGTTGCCGACTCTCCTTCTCATCTACTACTCTTCCCAGGAAATGGGGTCTCTTGTGGAATTAAGGCAAGCAAGCAAAGAAAATCTGTGGTTTGCCTTTTCACGCTGGGACCAGTAACAGTTGGTGGTTTGATTTTCAATCTCCCTTTCCTTTTTTTTTTCAGGGCAGTGGCAAAGCCACTTTTGCACATTCCAGGCATCTTGCATGTTGCCCATGGAAATTAATACAAAATGTATGGTTATACACTCAGAGAAAAATTTAAGGAAACACTTGGCAGACCTACCCACTTCTTCAAATAGCCCTTTTAGCCATCTCACACAGAAACAATTCCTTCAGTACTACATGCTGAAAATGTCACTTTATTTAGATTTTTAACATGTACATCCCGCCTTTTTTGTTTTTTCTCACTGCCAGAACAGTGATGGAAGAGTTTGGAGAGAGGGAGGACTGCCTCTATAAATGGGAGGACGTAACCCTACATTAAATGCTCATTTGAATATGAATCTCTAATTCTCTATTCCATTCTGGGAGGGGG